AGCGGTATCAAGGAGGATGTTTTTGTTTCCCTTTTTTCTAAACCTTCAGCTAAAAAAATCCATTACCCTGAAAAATCAATAGTAACCCTCCACATTTTCCCCCGCCTAGAAATCAGTTTGATTATCTGCACTTGGAAAACCAGTGAATTCTAAGCCCAGGTTTTGCACACCTGCCTAGCAGTGAAAGGCTGTCAGTAATATTTGTAGTTAAAATGACCACCACCAAGTTTAACTTCCAAGGTGGAGGAGGGAGAGACAGACCATAAAGTTCTCAGACTGGAATTTCAATTCACCTAATGTTTTTCCATGGCTGTATGCTGCGTGCCTATGTGCCACAGAACACACAGGCTCAGAATCAAACGCCACTTATATGACATCCCAATCCCAGAAACTGGCATTAACTACATGATTCTGGAATCAATAAACTTCATTTGGGAACATTAAGATATATTATTTGAAAAAGTTATTAGAAATAAAACTTCCCTGGAAACTTATTTTTTCTTTTATGAACTTCATTTGGGAATATGAAAATATATTATTTGAAAAAGTTATTAGAAATAAAACTTCCCTGGAAACTTATTTTTTCTTTTATAATCAACCTTGAGGTGTAACTTACACACAATAGAGTGAACCCATTTTAGGTGTAGAGTTTGGTGAGTTTCAACAAATGTATAAACACATGTATCCACCACCGCAGTCACTCTAGAAAGTTCCTTCGTGCACCTTAAGAGGCAATCTCACACCCACCCCCAGCCCCAGGCCACCACTGATCACCTTCTGTCACCATAGATTAAATGCATCTTTTCTCAAGCGTCATGTAAATGGAACCCACAGTATGTAGCCGTCTGTGTCTGTCTTTTCTTGCTCAGCTTAGTGTGTTTGAGATCCGTCCTGTCATTGCATGTACCAGTACTTGGCTCTTTTTCACTGCTGAGTAGTTTCCATTGTATGGATGTACCACCTGTTCACCTGCTGATGGACATTTGGGTTGTTTCCTGGAGACATTTTTAAGTCAGATGTATCTTCTAGGAGCCTAAGGAGCCCCCAGGGCTGCCCTAGAGGGCAGGGGAGGGAGAGACTGGAGAGCGTGGCCCTCAGACCCCTCCCCCACACTTCAACCCCAATGCACTCAGTGCTTATCTGTTTTGCATTTTAGCGTTCCTTGTATTATTCCCTTTACAAAAAAGTGTTTATACCACTGAGGAAATGTTTGAAAACAACTGATCTCTGTAAGCCAGCCTCCATGTGCAGCCCTCTGGTGACAGGCCACCCCTCCTGGATCTGTCCAATCTTTCTTCTATGTGTCTTTCCTTTCTTTCCTAGGGGCCTCCTGGTCTTCCCGGGCAAATTGGTCCACCCGGAGCTCCAGGGCTTCCAGGCCAGAAGGTAAAACTTTTCAAGGGGGGTGAAGACCACCCCGCGAAGGCACTGCATGTGTCCCTGAGCACACGACTCCAGGGCTGCCCCTAGTCCTGTGACCCTCTCATCTTCCCAGAACTACCACTGCACTCTGGCCTGTAACTCCTCCCCAGGCCCCCAGGCGCATGGCCCACCCGCCCACATCATAGCCCCCGGCCCTGCCGCTCTGCCCTCACCGTCAGCCTTGGGTTCCTGTGATTCACAAAGCCCCTGAGTGGTAGGGCCCGAGTCTACACGCAAACCTGCTCCTGCCCCAAGCACGCCTGCAGCTGGGACCCCACGCCGCCCATCGGGGAGCATGGCAGGGAGCTCCCCCCTTGCGCCCTGCCTTGCAGTTCCTCTTACACTCCCCCACCCACCCCTGTGTCTTTTCTCAGGTTTCCCCACTGTCCTCTGCTCATGAGGCCACCTGCCCTGATGGTCCTTTTCCCTCTTCTACCTTTCAAAGCCCTTCTCATCTTTTAAGCCCAACTCGGAGGCCACTTCCTCCTTGAAGCCTCCCCTGATCTATCAGGCAGAATTCACCGCCCTTTCCTCCCTGCTCCTCTCGGCAGCACCCACATCATTTTGTCCCGCCTCTCTTAACTCCCTCTCCGACTTAAAGAGGGGGCTTGGGTTGGTGTGAAGATGAAAGGAGCTCCCGTGGGGCAGTCAGGACAGGAGACAGGGAGGCAAGCACCCCTCCACTGCAGCCCAGGGGCTCTCAGGGGCAGCAGTGCAAAGTTATGGCTAAAACGAGGACTGCGGAGCCAGAGTGCCTGGGCTCGGATCCTGCCTCTCCTCTTCTCCAGCTGTGGGCCTCGGGCACACGAGTCTGAGCTTTGAGTCCTGATCTGTAAAACAGACAGTGAAAGTGCACGCCTCCCAGGATTGCAGTGAGGACGAAATGAGCGAACTCTGTGGGGAAGTGCAGAGAAGGCTGCCTGGCACGCAGGAAGTGCTGCGTAAATGACACTACCATCTCTGCTCTGAGAGTCACCTTTGGTTGTTTCGACCACAGGGGGAGATTGGACTGCCAGGCCCTCCAGGACATGATGGGGAAAAGGTAAGAACAGACATACCCAGACACACCTCTGAAAATAGTCCTCACCCTGGGGGTGGAGGGGGCAGGAAAGCTCTGGAGCAGGCCCAGCTGTGAGCCCTGTGGGGAAGGGAGAAGGGGGTGGGAGAGGGGCAACACTGCAGGCCCCAGGAGGAGCCGGCGCCCGGGCTGGGACAGGCTCTCCCTGCCTGCTCCAATCAAGCACCAAAGAGCCAAGTCCTCTGGCCTCCCATTCTTTCCTGTTCTCTCCCCCTCTCTCATCTTTGCTCCATTAATGTGGTTAAGAAGTGTTGTTGATGTTTTCTAAAGGGACCTCGAGGCAAACCAGGAGACGTGGGTGCCCCTGGTCCCCAGGGGCCTCCAGGAAAAGATGGGCCTCCAGGAATGAAGGGAGAAAACGGACACCCAGGGAGCCCAGGAGAGAAGGGAGAGAAAGGGGAGATGGGACAAGCAGGCTCACCGGTGAGTGGCGAGGGCTGGCTGGCCGCTTTGTGCATGTGCCACGCCCAGGCATGATGCCAGTTCTGCATGGTGCCAGCTGCTTACCCAGGCTACAAATCTGGAGCCAGGAATTGGGGATGGGGACTTCACTTGGTTTCCCCTCAAGCCATTCACTTTATGAAGGCCAGTGTCCTGACTCAGGAGACCTGAGTCCTGCTCTGTCATCACCTGTCTGTGTCCTTGGGAATGTCACCGAGCCTTGCAGAGCCTCAGTTTCCTCATCTCTAAAATGGGTATAGCAATGCCTTCCCTGGATACCTCACCAGATTGTTGGGGTAGAGATGAAGTCATGAGTGTAGAACTGCCTCTTTGGGAAGCATGCTGAAGTCCTACTCCCAGGAAAGGTTGCATGTGCATAAAAGGGTCCTTAGCGCAGCCCAGCTAGGCACCGATTTGGCTCGGGAGCCTTCTCTGGACCTCAGTGTTTTCCATCTGTGAAATGGGCACCCTCCTAGACACCCACCCTCCAAGGAAGGAGCCATCCATGCATGCCATACTTGGTCATGGATGCTGAGCATGATGACCTTGAGCTTGACTAACAGAGGTCTTTGTCAATCTGTAGGGTCTAGATGGCCCAACTGGGGAGAAAGGAGAACCAGGTGGCCAAGGGAGACCCGGAGCGACAGGATTGCCTGGCCCAATTGGGCGCCCAGGATTTACAGTAAGGCGAGAGGGCCGGGTGTTGAGGCTGTCGGCAGGCAGCTGCAGATGAGGGCACACGAGAGTGTGCCCCTCACTAGGGCCCCCAGCCCAGTAAGTGCCTGGCACTGTGATGAGGCTGCACTAATCCGAGCCTGCCTGCCCGGCCTGGGGGTCCATCCATGGCAGCCCCAGCACTGGGACATACACAGGGGTTACAGCTTCCTCCCAGCATGACAGCCTCTGTCCTGAGATGCCAACCTAGTTCCAAGGTGCTAGTCTTAGACTCAGAATTCGCCTCTTAGAAGTGGGAAGAGCCTCAGAGGTCAACCAGTCCCCCTGCAGGAATCCCTCAGCAGCCCCTGACCGTGGCTGTCCCATTCAGCTGGGACAACAGGTGGCAGCTCGTGGCCTCCTGACATGAGACTCAGAATTCGCCTCTTAGAAGTGGGAAGAGCCTCAGAGGTCAACCAGTCCCCCTGCAGGAATCCCTCAGCAGCCTCCTGACCGTGGCTGTCCCATTCAGCTGGGACAACAGGTGGCAGCTCGTGGCCTCCTGACATGTCCACTCCACTGTGGGGCAGCTCCAGGGGGAGGGAGCACTCCTGGGTGTGGGGTGGAAGCTTCCTCAACAGCTCCCCCCTACCCCAACCATGGGACCCTCTGGAGCTGTATCCATTTTCTATTACTGCATAACAAATCACTGCAAATTTAGGGGCTCACCCCAACCACGGCACCCTCTGGAGCTGTATCCATTTTCTATTACTGCATAACAAATCACTGCAAATTTAGGGGCTTAAAACAACACACATTTATTGTCACATAGTTTCTGTGGGTCAGGAGTCCAGGCATGTCATAGCAGACTCCCCATCCAGGGTCTCATGAGGCTGATATCAAGGTGTTGGCCAACTGAGTTCTCATCTGGAGCTAGGGGCCCTCTTCCGTGCTCACTGGCTGCTGGCGGAATTCAGTTCTTTTCTATAGTAGGACTGAGTCCCTCGGGTCCTAGATGACACCTACTGTTCCCTACCACATGGTCCTCCCCAAAGAGGGCCATTCACATTATAGCAGCTGGCTTTTTCAAAGCCAAGGCTAGCAGGAGTGTCTCTCTAGCGTGTGCTAGCAAGACAGAGCTATGTGTGTGTAACATGTTTGTAACATAATCTTAACATATGTTCTACATATGTTATCATTTGTATAATATGTGTATGTTGTAATGTGTGACATAATCACAGGAGTGATATCCCATCCCTTTGCCATATGCCCCATTCTATGGCTTAGACACAAGTCACAGGTCCACGCTAGGGTCTGCTCACCACACGGTCCACACAGAATGTCAGCTTCTCCTCCCATGTCTAGAACTTCAGATTCTTGAAAACAGGGACCACAGCCCCTTCCCCAGTCTTCTGTCCTGCAGGCCAACTGCCTCCACACCCTCCGAGGTGTTCTTAGCTGACACCTAGACCAGTCTAGTCTGGGGCTAGGTTGTGACAGATGCAAGGGTGTGTCTGTGCCCAGGATCCCCCAGGTGCTGGCATTTACACCGTGGTGTTTTGTGCCCACAGGGAGAGAAAGGAGAAGCCGGGGAGAAGGGTGACCCAGGAGCAGAGGTAGGTCCCACCTGCTCTTCCTTTTCTGTCACAGGAGATTATTTGACAGAGACCTCATCAAATGACAGTCTCTCCAGGATGCACAGCACTTCTGTGCTCTAGAATGAAACGCACAGCTGCCTGACATGGGGAGGGGAGGAAGCTGAACTGTGCTGAGTTTGCTGAGCACTCTTGTGGGTGCTCCATGGTCTCCCCATGAACCAGGCCTCTCGGCAGCATTTGCAGAGCACCTGCTATGCATCTGTCCTGGTGCTAGAGGCTAGAGATGGGAAAATAAAGAGAACCGTCCCTCTGCACTCACAGTCCCCAGTGATGGATACTAGAGTGGCAGCCACCAGGGGCCTCAGATGAGCATCCCAGATGAGCCATTTGGTAGCGCCTTGAGGACTTTATAGGAGTTTGCTGCAAGGCTTCAGAGGAAGGCTTTCCAGACGAGGCATGATTCTCTTGAGAAGTAAGAGAGTGACAGGAAGAGGAGCAAGAACAGCAGAGTGACAGGTAGACGGGATAGAGACACAGTTTTCATAAGATGGGAGAGAATCGGCCTTATTTGTAGGCTCAGGGGAAAGCTCCAGGAAAGCAACAGAGATCAGGGACCCGTGAGGGAGAGGATGTTTGGTGGCGGGGACTGAGCAACCCAGATGCCACCTCAGAGCCCAGAGAGAGACCACCAAGCCTTCACAGTCCCCAGTGAGGCCTCCCAGCCCTGTCACCCTTCAATGTTGCCAAGCCTGTCTGAATTTAGTGAAACAGACCTGATCGTATAATATGTATATTACTTGCTTAGAAATAGATAGCCCTCTAAAGAAATGTTCCTAAATTTAGGAAAAGCTTTATACACAAAAATGTTCCTCCCAGAAGTATTTAAAGTAAAAATTGGAAATAGCCTAAATTTCTAACAAGAAGGAAAGGATTAAGTAGCATGTGGTAAAAATATTAATAGTAATAATCGTCACCGTGTTTGAGAGCTTTCCTTGTGCCAAGCACTGCTCTAAGCACTGGCTACACAGTAACTCACGTTCATTCCACTCAGTGAATAGCTC